ATATGTTCTTTCAAATATTACCTATATGTACTTAAGTGTGAGAACTATAATACCATGATATAATACAATAATCCTGTAGGTTAGGTGGTATTGTTCTTCTTTTTTTTTTTTAACAGAGGAAAAAAACTGAGATTCAAGCTAGGTTAAATATCTTGCCTGAGGTTACCCAGGTAGTTAGTGACACAACTGGGATTCTGATCCAGGCATTTTATTTGCAGAGTCCTTCTATCTTAACATGATGTTCTATGCCTCCTAGACATTTCTTTATAATATCCCTGTCATTGATTATTAAGTAAAACTAAAGCCCTTCTTTTAGTGTTAATATACATTTATAATGAGGCAGTGAATAATGTTAAAAGTTTAAATGCTTAAAATTGCTTTCTTTGTGAAGGATGGATTTAAATTAAGGCCACATACGAATGTTTCTTGGTACAAACTCAGTCAAGCATAACACTGATTATTTCAACTAGGATGAATTGCACTAGTTATACTTTCAATCAGCATAAATAAGTGTTTTACTGTTAATAACCGACTCAACTACACACGTATAAACAAAACAGGTCTTCTGTGAAAGACATTGAAAAATTATTCACTGAAAACATATAAAATAATGGCATAACAAAGATGAAATTAATAAATGTAAAATGAGCTTAACTCATTTATTATGGCCAAATACTTGCCAAGTGATTACAAACAAAAAGCAGAAGATGTAATCCAAATGTTAGACAAAGTGTAATTCAGTCCCAAAAGTGTTACTGTAAGACAAAGAAGGACACTTTGGCATTATAAAGAGTATAATGAAGACAGAACAGTTATGAATACTTTTGCAGCAAGTGACATAGTATCAACATTCATAAAGCAGAAATTGTAGAAGATGAGGAAAAGTAAAAACACTACTAGTAGAGACAATAATTCACCTCTTTCAGTTCGTAGTAGATCAAGCAGACAAAACAATAAGCAAGGATAGATATAACCATTTTAGATAATAAGGTAGATATGATTTATATAAAACTAAGCACCATAAAAATATAAAATACAGCTACTTTTCAAGAACCTATTGAATGATGACAAAAAATTGACCATATATTGGGCCACAAAGAAAATTTCAAATTCCAAAAACTAGAAGCATTGTAAACAATATTCTCTGATAATGATGAGATAAAAATATAAATAACAAACTCAATACTAGAAGCTGCTTTTACTGGGAAAAAAATTCTCCAACTCCTAGCTCAGAGGGGAAATATAAACTGAAATTGCAGAATATTTAGAATACGGGGATATTGAAAACATTGCATATCAGAATTTGTAGGATGTAAAGTTAAAACTGAATAGAAAAGTCAGAACCTTAAATGCTTATATCAATAAATAATGAAAATATACTAAGCAGAATGAATAAATAAACTAGAAATGTAAAAAACTAAGAAAAAGCAAAGACAGAATAACTTACAAAAAGCTGATTCTATGAAAAATCACCAGCTAATCTCATAAAATATTAGATAAGGAAGAAATTACTCAGAAATAGAGAAAATTAAGAGAAACATAAGCTTCTTATATATGCATTCAAATATAATTTAAAACCTGAATGAGATGGATAAATTTCTAGGAAAAGATTATTTTTCCAAAACTGGTACAGAAGAGGGAAAAATCTAAACATTATTTTCATTAGAAAGGTATCAAGAAGATAACCTAACTCTTCTTCAAAAAAACACCCATTCTGAAGTAGTTCAGAGGTTTTTTTATAAACTTTTAAATAACAGATGCTTCCAATGCTGTCTAAAAAGATGGACAATATCTAATTACTTTTATGTAGCAAGTGATACTTAAAACCTGATTTTAAAACATTACTGCTCCTTCCTCTGACACACACAGAAGTCACAGACCGAAGTCACTTATAT